TACTATTTTTTTTAAAAAAGGTGCTGACATGTTTTCATATTAGAATTCATATAGTCAACAAATAGAAGAAATCTGAGAAGTGATAACAGCACTTGATTTGGTATAATCGCTGATTCTATTATTTTAAAATTAAGACATGCCTGTATTTGTGATTCCTATGCCTATTGGTTTGAGTAATTTTGTTGTTGCTGGGTTAAAAATCTCATCTGTTGCACTGTAAGCACTTAACTTCCACATATCCCTTAACAAGCAAGGGAAGCTATCTTTTGCAGGTATGCCAGCTAATGTAGCATAATTTTAAAAACTGAGGGCTCATTCTAAAGTAAAGTTGATACTGAATCAATGATTCCATCAATTGCTTCAAAATTAGATCAGATAAACTTTTTTGTAATTTAGATTAGTATTTTCACAACAAGATAATTCTCCGGCAGTCCAGTGGTTAGGATGCTGTGCTTTCACTGTAGAGGGCATGGATTCAATCCCTGGTCAGGGAACTAAGATCCTGCAAGCCATGGCCAAAAGATAAGTAAATAAACAAAAAACAAAACAAAGTATTTTCACAAAGAGAAGTGAACTTAATATCAGAAAAGGAGGTTGGTCCAGTAGGTAAGACTCTGTGCTCCCAATTCAGGGGGCCCTGGTTCAATCCCTGGTCAAGGAACTAGATCCCACATGCCACAAAAGAGTTCGCTGTGGCCCCCACCAAAAGAAACCAAAAAACAAAAAAAAGTCCTGCATGCAGCAACTAAAGATCCTGAGTGCTACAACTAAGACCCAGCAGAGCCAAATAAATAAATATTAAAAAAAAAAAAAGGAACCAATAGTTTGTTGTAACACAGGAAAGACTGCCACCTACTAAATGAACACATCATTTTTTAGAAGGTTTTTTCCTAGATGGGAAAAGAAAGTCTCAAGTTCAGTGAACTCTCAAATACAATAAAGCCTATTTTAAAGCATATAATACATAGGACAAAAACGATTCCACTGACAAGAGATACCTGGAACAGCAAAGTCATAGAGACAGAAAGTAGAATAGTGTTACCAAGGACTGGGGAGAGGGCTAAGCAGAGAGCTAGTGTTTAATGGGTACAGAGTGTCAGTTTGAGATGATGAAAAAGTTCTAGAGATGGTCAGTGGTGACAGTTGCACAATGATGTGAAGGTAATGCCCTTGAACTGAAACAGTTAAGGTAAATTTTATGTTGTATATATTCTATCACAATTAAACCAAAAAGAAGCATACTACATACCAAGATGTTCTTTGGTTTAAAATTTATTGCTGACTAGAGAAAGTGTTAAATATTAACATTTACACTAAGTTTTGTTTTTTTTTATAAGAAGTTTTAATTTCTAACTATCACTTACTGTTTAATTACCTTTTCACTAATTCTTTTCAAACTTTAAAAAATCAAATTGGAAACTTTATCTTATTTATGTTTTGTCTTTCTTCTAAAATTAATGAGTAAAAAAAATAAAATAAAATAAAAAATAAAATAAAATAAAAAAATTAATGAGTAACATACTTTGGGGATTAAAAAATTCAAAGCAATATAAAAAGGTTCATACTGAAAAATTTCATTCCCATTCCTGTCCTAATTCAGCCTGTTCTTCCTTTCCCTCTATATGCAACCATTTTTTAATGCTTATTTATCTTCTAAATTAATTTTGTAAATACTGGCAAACATGAATATATATTACTTTTTCTCTTTCTATCACAGAAAAAAAGCTACACATAGTTCTGCATCTTGCTTTTTTCCCTAACAGGACACTGAGAGGTTCTTCATTGCTCTTTTTATAATTAGTTTCATAGTATTCAATTTGGCGGATTCATCAGGGTGAATTTAACCAATTTCCTAATGTGGGGTTGTTTTCAATTTTTTGCTTGTAAATAAACAATGCTACAAAAAATTACCTAGATATATGTCACTGCATATTAATACACAAGTTACAGGAGAGATTCCCAGAAGTAGTACTGCTGGGTCAAAGGGAAGATGCATCTGTAAATACTGATAGATAATTGCCAGATTTCCTTCCATAATTGCCAGATTCCCTCCCTTATGTCATTTACTTTTGTAGTCTTGCCAGATGGTAGTTCACTGTTGTTTAATTTGCTTTTTTCCTGCTTAGAAATTGAGCACCTTTTACCATGTTTTAGAAGCATTTTTATTTTTCTGTGACCATCCACATGTACCTCCCATTATCAACTGAATTTTTATCCGTTTGAGGAGCTTTTTATACATTTGGGAGATTAGTCTTTATGAGTTACAAATATTTTTTCCAAGTTTATCACCTGTGTTTTGACTTTGCTTATTATGCTTATTTGGCCACGCTCAAGTTTTTTGTTTATATTTTTATCAATCTTTTATTTTACAGTACCCAGTAAACAGGCTGTCCCCTTCCAAAAATAAAAAGAAATTCAGTCATTTTTCTTCTAGAGTTTATACGGTTTAATTTTTTAATATTTAAATGTCAAATCCATTTGGAATTTATCCTGGTATATATAGTGTAATATTTGAATCCAAGTTTTTTTTTTAAGTGGCTACCCAGTTTCCTAACAACATTTATTTAAAAGCTCACCTTTACCTGAATCTTCTTAAACTTTCTTGTAGCATCTCATCCTCAGCCTCCATGTATCCTTCTAAGTTCATTCAAAAACCCATCTTTCTGAAGACTGAAGTTATCTTTTTTATTTTTTAAAAGACTCAACAAGCAATATGAAACTGAATAAATATAATAAAAAAGTGAAATTTCAAATAAGAATGGTACAAAAAAGGAAGATTAAAAATAGTCCATTCTATTTGATAGTCTTTATATATTCATTTTCAAACTACTAACTGCAGAACAAGGAAAAGGCTTAAAACATTAACTTAAAAAAAAAAAAACAACTCAACAGTCTAAAAATTCATCAAGAGAAGATCAAGTAAATAGACTGTGGTTTATTAGGACAGTAGAATATTTACACAGAAGTTAGATTCAGATGTAATGAGCTGGCATGCTATCTGAGGGAGGGTAAAGAGGGTCCAGGGAGGGCAACTGTCCTACTTTACAGTAGGACATATTTGGGGAAACATATTTGTAAATGCATACAAAAATTCTGGAAGAAAATAAAGTGTTAAGTGGTTGTCTCTGCAGAGTGAGACTTGAGTTGGGAGAGGAGAGATGGGAAAAAGAAGTTTTAAAGTGTGAAAATACTTTTTGGAAAATTATCACATATAACTTTTATACTCAGAAGAGTAAATCTAAATTTCATGCTAAATACTAAGGATCGAACTGGGCTAACACATATACATAAACATTTTTAAAAGGTAAAATCGAAGGTATTCTAAAACAAGTTTAGGGATATAACTATGAGTAAGAAGAGCTTTCAAACATATCTTTTACTTAAGATAAAGTGAGTTTTTAATTCGGTTTTAGCTAAAAGCTAAGACAGAAAAATCTAATTCAGTAGAGAGGAAAAAAACATGATCATACTGCCCAGAAGTTACCTGAACAATGGTGAATCCAGATCTGAGAATAATATCTTGTATCTCCTCCTCTTTGTCAACAATATCTGGTTTGATAATAGCCAGAGTCTTTTCTACGTAGATCTGAGGTGGGGGCATTGATAGCTCCATTCTGGCTTTTCAGCTACAATTTAAGATTCTTCACGTGATCGGGTAGAGAGGGAGGTGGGAGGGGGGATCGGGATGGGGAATACATGTAAATCCATGGCTAATTCATGTCAATGTATGACAAAAACCACTACAATATTGTAAAGTAATTAGCCTCCAACTAGTAAAAATAAATGAAAAAAAAAAAAAAGATTCTTCACGTGTATCAACTGCAGTGACATGCACCCCCACCCCCAACTCAATGTAATTGTGACTAAACAGCATTATCAGATGCTTGATTTTATTAATTTATACAGCTGGAAACTGTCATAAAGTTTTTTCCACAAGCGGTGTCTCAGTAATACGATTTTTACCTTATCTCCTGCCATGGGTTTTCCTAGGTGCTTTCATTAAGTTAGGAGAGCCCAAGGAGCAAGGCAAAGCCAAGGACCCTGGGGGCCCAGGAGGAGACTAGGTCTGCAACTCTCCAGGCCACTCAGCACCACCCTCCACAGTGCACACACACCCCCCCTCTTCCCATCCCCTCCTGCCACCAGGACGCTTAGGGTAAGGCCCAGATGGAAAGCAGAATTCCTGGGTCCCCTGCACTCCCAAATTCCTTCAGAGTCCGGCCCTCATTTGGGCACTCACCTTAGCCTGGGCTTCTTTAGTGTTACAGACTGTTGCTAGGAGACCAGAAACCCGCTTAGAGACGGTGGCTGCAGAGGGCCAATTCCAGCAGAGCACTTCGCAGTCTTCGGCTAGCTCCTTTTAGCCAAGAAAGGGAACCCGCCACAGGGATTTTTATCCCCTTGCAAATCTTAAAAGCAACAAAAGTTTTCTAACGTTTTCCTCATAATTTATTTTATTTCATCCTCCTAGTCATTCGAAGGACACTTGTATTATCTCCACTTTACAAATAATGAGATAAATCATAGATGCTCTTCCTCATCCTACCCCCAGCACCTTCCAGTGTATGTAAGAAAATCCGTGTCAGATACCTTCCATATTTCACCAGACAATGTTATCCCCTCTACTGCCAGCTTCTATAATCATTAAAAGGTAATTTTCGACTTGTGAAATAACATTTATTTAAAGAGCAGTAAAAGAAGTTTAATCTATTTACCTCTAAATTAACCTTACTGAACAAAGATGTGGGCAACATATATGGCATAACCCCAAATCTGTTTTCTGTGTTTTCTTTGTATCATGTCCACAAGCACCTTAAACTCTTTGGTTGTAAGTTAAGGTGTAATTCTTATTAGAAAAGACAACAGAGAAATGGTAAACAAGTATTGGGATCTTCAGTAAGTCAGAGTCTCAGTTAAAGGTCCAAAATCCAGAAAAGTTCAGGGAAGCAGCTCCAAGTTAGCAAAACAGGTTTTCCATCATCCATAGGGTTGGTTAGTTTTCATTCCAGACTATTTAAGTCTCTTCTTTTGTCTAACCAAATACTCAGCACCTACAGGGTCAAGGCAGATAGCAGCTATGAATCTTTATGGAGGTTTGAATGCAATTTTACTTCTTTCTCTGCAGAGATTCAACCATGTTTTTTTTTTTTTTAAAGTATCAATAAGACACTGCCCAAAAAAGAAACCCTCAAATGTCTTCTTCTGGCTACCATATCTTATCTCCTATAGATGGGACAAAGTGGACATATATTAATACCAACATAGCGTCAAAAAATGGACAGTGACTCCAGCCTCAGGTATTCATGTTTAGCCCTCTGACTTGAGGCTCTGGAAGTAGATGCACCCATTACCTACTTATCTATCTCCAGGTCTCTAAGAGCTCTTTACTGCTGCCTGCCTTCCTAAAGAATTTTACTTCACCATCTATTAAAGCTGGTTCCACAGAGGAGCAATTACAATGTCAACCCTTCAGGTCCTTGAATCACCTGTAAACATAAACTCTGGGAGCACAAGGTCACTTCAACATCACCCTTATTCTCACAAGACTTTCTAAAATCAGATTCCAGAAACTACACTCCTTTTCCTTGCAGCTGTCTACCTACAGTACCTGAATCTGCTCCAAGACTTCTCGCTGCATCTCCACAGCCATATGGTATACATGATGATCAGAGTCATTGTACATCACAGCATTTTGGAACATCAGCATCAGGTCCCGTTGGAACTGAGCCATGGTGCGAATCCGTCCCTTGGACAGATTCCTTTTCAGGCTAGTTAAGTCCATGGGTCTACAGGTGGCCAAGAGAAATCAGAGGAAATCAAACCTTCATGTGGAACATGCAGTGACCTAACATGCTTTCTTGAAAAACTAACCAGCTCTTAATGAAAAGAGTAGTAAAGATAACAATCCCCATTAGTTAGATAATAAAATAGCAAAAGCAGCTAACATAACGACTGCTTACAATAAGTCAAGTGCTATGCTAGGTATTTTCTATATTAACTCACTTGATACTCTCAAAAAACCTATATGGTAAGTACCATGATCACAACTGGCAATGAGAAAATTGAGATCAAAGAAATTAGGTACTTTCCCAAAGTCACACAGCTTAGATTCTAATTCAGAAGCAGTCTGACTCCAGAGCCCATAGGACTAGCCATTACATTTTACAGTTGGTGGTATCAAAGTTGTAAAGAGCTCCAATTTGTCACATGGGAGTTATTGACAGTTTACAATGTGTAGTCATACACTAGGTATTTAATCAACAGTTTTTACTATATCATCAAAATCTCAGAGTTTTTCTTCTTTTCATGAAGATAAAATGAATATTAAGATAAATATTATATAGTGGGATATAATAGAGAGTGGGTGTATAAGAGAAGGCACAGCAGAGGAGAAAGAGGACTCCTAGGAGGTAGGTAAGACTCCAGTTTAGTTTTAGCTCTGCTATTTCACTTTTGATCACAGACAAGTCATGATCACCTCTGAGTCTTAGTTTTCCCATCTACAGAATTAAGGAGTCTGCCTCCAAAGGTTCTTTTATGATCTTTTATACATTAACACACTAGTTTATGATAGCATTTTAGATGAACTATGATATAAAAATCCAAAATACTGCAATCAACCAGTGTTTGTAAAATCCATTTGAATTACCATCTTTGCCTTGAATACTTATAACTGCCTGAAGGAATACAGCTTTCCTTTCAAAGTTTTCCTCCAAAATAAGTGTCAAAAACTACCAAAGGCTAATGTAAAATTATAACAAATGGATCATATTACTAAAAAGTCAATAATGAAAAAAAGCCTCTTTATCTTGTTGTTCCTTACATTCTCAAATAAGGACTGAGCCTATCATAACTTTATGATAACTTATTCAGCTATAAAATATATCTTGAGCTTAAATAATGTAAATGAAATAAGGAAATAATCTAACAGATGCAAAATAAAGTATGAAAAGACAGATATAAAAGCAACCAACCTTTCTTGACCCCTTTTCCACTGACCTTTTCACCACATCCTTGTATCCTGGGGCCTGCCTTTCTGACACAGGCTTCAGAAACGGGCTGCTGAACCTGATAAAAGACAAATCCAGAGAGAATGAAGAAACTCTAGGAAGTCACCCTAAATGAGAAGAGTGGCTGTGAATGTCCAGAGTGGCTTGGAGTCCTACCTGTGACTGGCTATCATCTTCCAGACTGGCAGGAGAGTCTTCTTAAATAGCAAGTGATCCTGAACAGGATCACCATGGCATCGATCAGACCTATGGCATAAAATAGGACAGAAAATAAACAGTAATTTCACATATGGTATTCTGTTCCCCCAGATGAGCAATGAGTTTTCCCTAACACACAGTGCCCCTAGCTAACATCTGAAGGAAATAACATCACAGGAATAAAAACATATTTAAGGCTTCCATAAAGGACCCCAGACTATAAGTATTCTCTATTGATCACTATTAAGTTCACTATTAACTTCACAAATGAAGTTGTTACATTCTTACAAGCAACTGCCTCTGCCTTTTGCAATCTTGCATTTCAGCACCTGTGACTCTAAACAACTGGTCTATGAGAGTAGTCTTCGTTTTTACTGATGTCTCCCAAGTTCCTGGCACATATTAAGTGCTCAAATGAGTATCTGATAAATGAATCTGGTCCTCTTTTTATACAGAAATATGCCACATTAATAAGTACTTCTCCCATATTTCCAGAGCGGGGGGGACTTGGTTTCATATTCCAAGGAATTCTCTCACACTTCACCTGAATGTGATACAATTTAAATATTTTTCTTTTTCATTCTCTTCTGTATAGTAACCTTTAAAATACCAAGACAAATTCATTTCTCCTCATGGTCCCTCCTTCTCTGGGCTAAACTGCCTAATTTATTTAGTTTTTTCTTTAGAGGTACAACTGCTCAACATTTTATTTCATTTTATAATTTTCCCAATTGGCAAGTTTTCTATTTACTTCAAAGTTAAATATCATATTATACTTCATACTTTATACACTGCCTTATTCTCTCTAAACAGACTTTTCACACCTAAGGTTTCACACCCTCGTTTTGCTTTATGTACCATATTATGTGCATCCATTTGAACACAACTCATATTTCATCTTTCTCCAGTTTGAACAACTCCATATAACAATTCATTTTCATGATGTAATATCTCACTTGTATCTAAATTATATACCACAAAAATCAATTTATCCTTGTAAGAACAAGACATTTAAAGCCCAAAGCAAACCTCTTCCTTTGTTTCTGGTCAGTCAGCCAGAATAAACAACAGGTCCCTAGTTCTGATACAATTTTGTTCATATATCCACAAAAGAGATATTAAGTTACCACTATGTAAAATATACTGCAATGTTTGGTAACTTCATAATCAATCACCTTTGCAATATTTTAAGAAACAACCCCTTGCTTACCTTTATTTCCATCTATTTGGGAATGTACACCAAGCAACTACAAGTAAAATTGTGGGAGTAAAAAGGACCTTCAGACTTAACAGTGGTACTCCAAAAGTTCTACTTTACCCCGAGAGTCAGTACACACTAAGGATGAAGCCAGAAGAGAGGGACCAAGGGAATGTCTATCTTTCAAAGTAGTTTTAAGCTTCCGTAATGGTAACACCGAACTCAAATACCTGTTTCCCCTTAAGTTATCTAGTCAAGCAGACTTAATTACTAATATCTACTGCTTTCTAACAAAGATTTCATGTTTAACCTAAATTCTAAGATAAGAGTGTGGAGTTTGCATTTCAAGATGCTGAAATGTCATGAGAAAAAATGTCCCAGATTAGTGATTTCCTGTTTGGGGTTCAGTCATCATATGCCATCTGCTCATACTTACAAAGGGAATTAAAGAAAAGCAAAGGAAGTAATTCTTCAACAAGCTAGGTTTTTAGCTGTATTCTATTTGTGTAACAAAAATTTAAAATCTACTATTTACAAAAACATATATGCATGGTTCAGTGGTAGATCTTAGGCTACAATAATTATTGGTTTGCCTTACCACAGATAATGTGGATGGATCTAGGATGTAGTGAAAAAGAAAAACCAGTTCGTGCTGTCTTCTCTCAATACATAGACACCAGACTAGGCCCAAAAGAGGAACTATTTGTTACAAAACTAGAAATACCTTGCTTTTCTGATTTAAAAAGAAATTCACTTTACTGAAAATAAATTAACATTCTAAAACGTGCTCTGTGGCCTTAGAGTTATTTATGCTAAAAAAAAAAAACTATAAACAATTTTCTAAGACCTGTGAAAAAAGTAACAAGGGACATAATATCTTAGAAATAATTTTTAACTTCAAGTTAATAGGAGATGTTTTAGTATTTTTAAAAGTACAGTTTATATATTAGACCTGAGTAACAAGTTGACTTATCAATATTTCCTGAATAAACATACAGACAAGTGTTACTTATGAAAGAGATTCTTAATGTTGATGAAACAGTCCTGTTTTATAAGGTGAAAGCATAGAGGCTACTATTTATATAGTAGAATTGTATTTAATTCTATTTCTAGTGTTTTCCAACTCTAATTCTATTTTTCAATTTACAGAAGTAATAAATGCTCATGGCAACAAATTCAAATAGGCATAAACACAAGTAAAAGTATGAATCCTAACAATCTTGAATAAAAAATCTATACTTACGGCTTTGAGGAGGCAGCATGACTGAAAAGGATATCCACCAGAGGAGTCTCCTGGATGCTGTAGCCATCATCACACTCACCTGAAGAACGCTGATCCTCCATTTCTGATACATACCATTCAACCTGGTCCTCCTCTTTGGATTCTTGCTGAACTCCCCGCTGGGAATGCCAAGAAACAAAGGAAAGTTTAGAAAGGTATTTACTATCTTCAAGGTAATTTTTCTTACATGGGGTAAAAGAAGGCTGATCTTAAGGTAAGAAGAGGTCAGTTAAATAAAGTTATAGAATAAGTTAGAAAATGGTGGTTTAACTAGACCTAAGGCAATGGAGAACTCTTGGAGAACTCTGACTCTATAGCCCCCCAAGAAATGAAAAAGCAATATACTCAAGTCTAGATAAGATGCTGTTTTCTTTTAAAACTGTCATTACTTGTTGCCCTGGAGCTAACCACTCTAGCTGGTCAGATTATATTAATGATAATGGCATTCTAAATTTTACTGATGGCTTACTATGAGCCAGGTACTGTGCTAAGTGCTGCACACGAATTATTCATCTAATCCTCACAGCACACCTGAGACAGAACACTGTTACTTCATTTCAGCAGAGAAAACTGAGGTTCTAAAATATTCACTAACATGCCTAAGCCTACACAGCTGATGCTAAAACCAGGATTTAAGACCCAAGTAATTGAACTCTGGAGTCAGCCTGTGTGCTCTAACCATTCTGCTCTGCCTGTCTGTGCACAGGACTGATCAGACAGCTGGTTTAAGTTATTCACTTATACCTCTTCGCTCTCTATGGATTGTTCCTGAAGTGCCGAAATATCTGAGGGAGGTCGAGTCACCACTGGCCTTCCATTTTCTCCCAGTGATGACTTCTCAGCGACTAAGGGGTCTTCCTTGGCTGAAAGTTCTTCAGGTTCTCTGTAGGGCTCCCCCTCTCCTTTAGTAGCTTCAATTTCCCTTGCCTCTTGTCTGGTAGCAGATGAAGGGCAACAGCCTTCACTTGATTCTTTGCTGCTAATGCACAACGGCTCCATTAAATAAGCTACCTGCAACCATAGTTTATTGTTAGATGTATAAGAACACCAGTGGAAATGATCATCTACGTATTAATAATGCCACATCATTACACTGCCACTGTGACTAAATCTGAGATGGTAGGGTTAACTGATTCATTCAGTCTTTTTAAATTTATCAAATATCTTATATACATAGGCACTGGGCTAGTTGGTAGGGACTTAACAGTAAACAAGATAGACATGATTCTTGCCTCAAGAAGCTTAAGTTCTAATTTTCCTTCTCAAGTGTCAACTCTAATCAACTGGTAACGACTATCTTAAAAAACTGCTGAAAACTCTGCCACAAACTGGATTTTTACTGATCTTGACCTAGGTTCTCCTGAATGTGTATAGCTGCCACATAAACTCTCTGTCCAGTTCTGTTTATTTCTGGTCCTCAGCCCTTAACCAGGGAAATAAAAACACTGCCAAGAAGTCTTAACATTATAAACTTACAGGGGAGTTTGGGCAAGTGTCACCTCACATGAGTATCAAAGAATGAATTGCAAGGATCCTCCTAAGACAGTCCTACATACAGAAATTCCTGATTCAGGCTCGTAATGACTGGGCTCTTAGAACATTCAGTCAAAAAGTACATATTTAGGACATGTTTTGTATCAGCACCAAGTGCTGGAGACACAGCAATCAACTCAATTCCTGCCACTGCAGACATTATTTTTAGTAAACAACATACAGAGTGGTAGAAATATGTATGGGTAAGCATTCTCTTAGGAAGCTGAGCCTCTTCCACCTTTGGAAATAACGGCTTCCCATTACCTCAGAGAGAAAGAGGAGGTTCTGGCGGCTGACTTGCTCTGCCTCTTCCTGAGATTCCTCACTGCCTCCGTCCCTCACAAGCAGCTCACTAGCTTCTCTCCCTGGGCTGCTTTCCTCTAGTTCCTCAGCCCCTGGCTCCTCAGGTTCCCTCCAGCTGCCCACATCAAGATCAAAACTGGAGTCCCATGAGCTGAAGAGGGACCTGCAGTCATTGCTCAACTCAGAGTCATTGGGATAGTCTTGTTCAGAATCCAACCAACCCCAGTCATGCCCCATCTGTAAATAAATACACAGAAAAAAAATACATTAAATACACTCAAATCAATATTTCTATGGCATTTCCATCTCCCAACTTTGGTAGAAAGGTAACGGGTCAGAAATGTTTTTCTACTCATCATTAGGAAGAGTAATATCTAGCTGAAGGGAGACATCAGGAGAAAAAGTGATCTGTTATCGGGAATAAAGAAAAAGCCCTATGTCAAACAGTACAATAGAAATATTTCCCAATAATTATTTGTTCTTAGACTTCCTCAGACTCTGAAAGAAGAGAAAAAACTGGAGCATAGATAGCTGAACTCCTCTATCCCAAATCACCCTTAAACTCAACTGCAAGGCAACAAATAAGATGCACATGGGCTATTTTCCTCAGCATATAGACATTTTTAACCTATCAGCCATTAAATCCTCAAAGCATGCTTTACAATTACCTGCAGCATCCTTCTAGTGATATTCAGCTTTCACTTCTCAGAAAGAGAACTACAACATCAAGTTTTTTAAATATCTTTCCTTGCTTTCATTACACTGCACTCCTGGTTTTCTTACCACTCTGTCCTCTCCCTTTACAACTTTCTACGTTCTTGTTTGGGCCTCTGCTTCCTTACTGTGTCTTTAAAAAACAAAAGAAGAAATGTAGCTATTTTGAGGTTTCAACTTTGATCTTTATTAAGGTGGCTTCCAAATCTCTCCACTTTTACTTTTTATATGCATTCTTGCCTCATTTCTCCATGTGCCCAAAGGCCGATTCCCTTCAGGTGCCCTACCCATCTCCTTCAACTCTTCTAAAACACTAAAATCACTTTTCTGAACATCTCACGAACCATTTGAAAGTGAAAGTCATTCAATCGTGTCCAACTGTGAGCCCATGGACTATACAGTCCATGAATTCTCCAGGTCAGTATACTGGAGTGAGCAGCCTATCCCTTTCTCCAGGGGAGCTTCCCGACCCAGGAATTGAACCGGGGTCTCCTGTATCGCAGGTGGATTCTCTACCAACTGAGCTATCAAGGAAGCCCCCCAAACCATTTGCTCTCCCGAAATTCTTTATACCTACCATCACTATTTTCTTAGTCCTGTTTTGAGTCTTCTCTCACATTCATTAAACAAGTCCACTTCCAAATTCTCTTCCACAGTAATTTTTCTCACTGCCCATCCTTTATTCCTGAATAAATGTGATAGCCTCCTGGTCAGCTTCTCTATTTTTAATCCAACCTGCTCTGAACAAATACAGTCTCCCTATTTAATGCTTTACAATAGATACCTCAAAGATAAATTTCTCAGTCTGTCAAAGTCCTCCATAAATCAAGCCCAATTTTGTCCCTTTATCCTAGTTCCTGTAATTCACTATTCCTTAATACAGTCCTTAATTAGTCTTCTTACTGTTCCCACCTCAGATACCTCTACCTTAATTTAGCTTGCTTAAGCTTATGAATCACATTCTCTACCAACCCAAAATCTTGTGTCCTTTAATGGACCTCCTCCTCCACAAACTTCTCCAACTTTTAGGACTCCACTGCTTAGATCATATACATGTTAGTATATCACTTTGGGAATATACTGTAATTAAGGTTTTCTAACTCCTGGATTGAATGAACTTTCTATCACTCACAAAGATGTATATCTTCTATGTCCTTAGCATTCTAACCAGTTTTATATTTTTATTTAAGCCAAAGAAAGATCTATGATTTCCAATCATGTTCCTTATCTTCCTCAAGAATGCTCAAAATACTAGATAATATCTTATTAATCTCCAACTCTTTTTAATAAAAAGCTTACAAATACTTCATTTCACTAATCTAATTTTTACTTAGCAACAAAACTTGGAATAAACTCAGGTGATAATTTGATAACTGAGTTAAATCTTCAAATAGTAATGTTATGAATTCTAAAATATACAAAAACCCTACACATAGAAATATATAGAAAGGAAGTAACAATATACTATTCAAGAAATACCACCTACAGGACTTCCCTGGAGGCACAGTGGATAAAAATGCACCTGCCAGTGCAGGGGACACAGGTTTGATCCCTGGGTCCAGGAAGATCCCACATGCCATGGAGCAATTGAGTTTGTGCGCCACAACTACTGAGCCTGCACTCTGGAACCCTCAAGCCACAACTACTGAAGCCCGTACGCCTAGAACAAGGCGAAGCCACCAAAATGAGAAGCGCCCACTCTCTGCAATTAAGAGAAAACCCACACAAAGCAACAATGACTCAGTGCAGCCGAAACTAAATAAAAGAAATACCACCTGAAAAGATAGTCATAAACAGAACAAATGCTGAGGATAAAAATGGTATCTGTATTCATGCTTTACTCTTTAAACAATGCCATGAACAGAACACTGAAGACCTTAAGTTTTCCCAATCATTCAAGAAAAGCTGAATAAGACAGTCCTGACTGCATAATGCAATACTCTTAAATATTATAAACTCAATCGTGGTTACTTACATTCTCTGACCTGTAGTAGAACAGTTCATATTATAACACCACTTTTCCGCCCTAACAATCTCATTCCACAAATTATTAAAGTTACCACGCAGAACAAATTGCAAGTTTCACACACACACTCACATACTCTAAGAACACACCAAAGGCTAGAGTTTTCTTATCTTTCAGAGTTTATTGTGTACATACACATTTCACAGGTTTTTGTTTTTAAAGTCTGTACACTTCACAAGACAGTACAAACTAGCTACAATTTGCTAGCAAAACATCAGGACATTAACACAGCCCAGGATTTTTGCCCTAAAACAGGCAATTGTGCTACTCCAACTCTCTGAGAGAGATCTTCCCAGCTTATATCATGTGGCCCAGGCAACTCCTCTTCTGTAACTTCAACTTCTGAAACTGGGCCACAAGCCCAAGCGTTATCTTTACTTCTGTTTCAGGTTCAGCTCAGTGCAGATACTCTGAGGCTTCACTTTTTCATCTTCATATCTGCTTCAATGGCACAGCGGCGCCCCCTGGTTCCCCCATCCTAGATGACAGGCAGATAAAGAAAGGGAGTGTGAATGAGTTACCTATGATGTAAGGGAGAAGGAGCAATAAGAATGCTGGGGATTTGGTTTTAGGGGGAAAGAGGGGGGAGAATAAACAGAAAAATCCAGGGAATGAGGGGCATTTAACGGTCCTCCCACAGAGTGGGCTAAAAAGCACCTTCGAGTAGTGTGTGAGAAGAAATAACAGGACAGAGTAACTTGCTCCTGCCCTGGGGTCCCACAGAACGACTGAGTCATCCCACCCAGGCCCCAAACAATGTGCAAAGGAACAAGAAGAGTAAAAGATGGGTGTGAGAGCCAGAAAGGGCAGTGGATAGTGAGATTCTTGGCTAACATACCTGTCCAGCTGTTGATCCCTATAAGAAAGGCCTTTCCTGCAGACTGACCCTGGCACTAGTTCCCTAGCACCTCCTGAGTTGTTTTCCATGAGATCAGGACAATCAGAAAGCTTCTTTCCATCTGCTGCTCTCTCCCTGCAGCCCAGCTCCTTCCTCTTGTGCAATACTTTGCTGTCTTCAATAGATAAAAGATTCTATTAACCAGCCTTGCAACAACCAGTCAATTGCTTCGGGATACACACAGTCACTGTTGCAGGCCAGTAAGAAAGAATGGAGACTACAGTGTTTTGTCTGTCGTACAGGCTAAGACATGTAGATAAGATGAGCTAGTGAACACTTTAGCTGGGCCAGGCCACTTTTACATTTCTAATATGCAAGGACTTCTTAGAGCTCATGAACACAAGTTGCCTCTGAGACAACATTAAGTATAAAAATAACACCCTTGCATTTGTATAACACTTTAATTTTTTTTCCAAGCCAGTTTCACACCTATTATTTCATTTTATCCTCACAACATCCCTGTGAGGTAGGCTGGACAGGTACCTCGTTATATTATATCCATCACACAGATGAGGAAAACAAGGCTCCAGGAGAAAATCCAGTGAGTTTTAAAATCATATGGTTTTCTAGGCTGATATCCCTTCATTATATCATGAATTAGTGCCTCATAATGAACACAGTCAGAAGTTTGTTCAAATCATAGAGGAAACGAAAGAAGTCTTTAGGTTAGCTTTATTAAGCTCATCTCTAATTCCACCAGCCACTACTAAAGGTAGGGATCACTGTTACTGAGATCTTTACCTTAAATTTTTCTAGATGTTTATCTATCAGGCATCACTCTTGCAACTTATTATTAGAGGAAAAGGAAAACAAAAAACAAAAAACCCATGCGCGGAGTATCTTTTTAAATACCAGTTAGCAGCTGCTGCTCTGAGCAATCTTCTATTTGTTAAAAAAAGAACTGTCAAAAGGTGAAGTCAAGAAATGAGGAGCAGGTGCATCCTAGATCCTTACCAAGAACACCTCATTTCAGTTTAGTGAAGTCTTGAAACAGTCCCTACCCAACCCACACACACACACATGCAGAAAGACAGAAATGCAGAAGAGGCAGTTTCTTATTTGATGACTTGAATAAACAGAAGTTTGAGACATTGCCACAGTCTGCACGTTGGATTTCCCTCTGCCACCCACCCCCAGCAAGAGCTGAGAATCTTTGTGGCAACACCACCCCTTGCAGCCATTCAATACTTACAAAGAGAGAGAGAAGGAAGGCAGGAGAGCCCATGGGGACACTGTCCTGTTAGAGGACAAACAAACACTGATCAGGTTCCACAGAAACTCTCAGCTGCAAGCACCCCAAACCTTAGGACAGAGACACAAGCACCACGCACACAAAGACAAAATTTTAAAACTCAAGAATAAGAGGAAAGAGATCCAAAGGCAATCTGGCCATTATGCCTCTGGATTAGGAACTGATGATCCCCAAATGCTACAAGCTAAGTCATTTCTCCCAACTTGTGAACACTCTTCCAGAGGAGATAATAATTCATTCACTCAGCTCACAATTTCTCCCATGTGACTTTTTCAGTCACAGCAGGTTTCTTCAATGTCTGATGGGAGCAAACAACTACCATTTTAAGATCTTGATGTCTGTATACC